GCTTTTATTACTAAAATATATAATGTTTTATATATTTTTGTTTGGCTGTCTTAGCAAATAGAAAAAGATGTCAGTACAAAAACTATTGAATTCTGTATCAGCACCTGGGAATTCTACTGTGGTTTGCATTCAGCAGCTTCATCTTTCTTTTCCTTATGAAAGAAGCACTTTGCCACTTTCTGCCTGGGCAAAGCGAGCGTGTGGGATGCCACAGAAAGGCTTGAAATGAAGAAGGACCCAACATTTTTCCAAGGCTGAATGTAATGGACTTGGCCGCCCTGTCTGCCTCACTCTCAGTCTTTGGAGCTCTAATTTTGGAATAACAGGAGCCTTTCCTCACTAAGGAAACTTAGTAGAACCCAGCCCTTTCTGTGGTGGTAGAAAGAGCTGCAGGGATGATGATGAATTGTCTTGACTCCTAGCACTCTCTCTCATGTTTGCTTTGCGGCTGAAGGTTATCTTGCAGTACAGAAAAAAGCAGGAAAGAGGGTGCCAGCAGGCTGTTAATGACTCATAAAAATAACTTTAGGTGAGCTGGGAACAGCAGAAAGGGATTGATACTCACCTGACTTTCTTCCCAGGATCCTTCTCTGCTTCACAGACCTTTTGATTCTTCTTTGTTCACCCTACTTTTGCCACCACCCCTACTTCCTCACCTCTCTAGTTTCTTTTCTTTTCATCATCTTTTGTGATTTCTTAGGTTGCTTCTTTCATCTTATAGTTCTAGTATGTCCAAATAGAAAACTGAACATAAGATGGGCTTACGGATATGAAGGTATGGGGAGAGAGTTGGAGTGTCCTTTGACTAGAAGAATTATTATTAAGTCTTCAGGTTTAGGTCTAACATAACCACAACCAGAGTAATTTAATTAAGTTTCATTGCAGAAGGCAGGTTGTAACATGGATTCCCTAGTTATGGTGAATAGTTAGAGTAACTGAACATGCCATCTTATGATCTGTTCAAAGAAGCTTCATTGGAATAATAATAATAATAATAATAATAATAATAATAATAATAAAAAAACCCAACATCCAACAAGTAAGATGTGCTCTGATTCTGAGCCCATTTGGGATACTGAGATGAGAAAAAGGAACTTGCAAAATTATTTGCTTGGGCAGGTTCTGATGCCATCTTCCACAGCAAGCCTGTCTGGAAAAGA